AATGAACATGTACAAAAATGTTCTATTTATTAATTGAGTCTATAGTATATAAAAGAGGTAGGTAGCAATTCTGGTGCCTCTACTTTGGCAGAAACCTGATTCATTCAGGGAGATACCTTATATTCTTCATCACAATTTTTATTCTTAATTGTACATTAGAAGTAAAAGTATATATTTATTATTGTTATACTTTATAAACATACTAGGTGACACAGGGGCATGGCCAACAATTGTCAATAGGTTGCGATTTTGTGTTTACATTACAAAATTTTTTTTTGTGGGTGGGGGGATGGGATCACATCTAACGCAACCCCCCTGGCTACGCCCATTTGACACAAAAAACTAGGACCAGACTTTTTCTATCTATGATAAAGATGTCTTATTTGGCTTTAGTGTGGTTTACCTCTAATTTTGGTAGGTGGTTCAGAGGAACTCACGTTCATCTCAAGCATGCTCAAAATAATGCAGTAGGTTCTGGTGCTTAATGCAAATTTGATTGTGTCTGCCAAAGTTGTTAATCACTATTATCCATTCACCTCTGGGATTTGTCTTATTTCCGATGATTGCTGCTTTGAGTTCTGTAATAGTATTAGGGTGGGTGGCCAATATAAACACTGTCCTTCAGATTCTTGTTATATGAAGGGTTGAAATCTGGGAGTTAGCAGCTTATGATAATAGTGATCACTGTCAATTTGGACTGATTTAGCTGAGTCCTTCTAATTTTTTTGACTTTATATATATGGGATGATGGGATGAACCATGCAAAAAGTGGGACCAGACTTTTTTTATCTTTGATAAAAATGTCTTATTTGGCTTTAGTGTGGTTTACCTCTAATTTTGGTTGTTGGTGGTTCAGAGGAACTCATGTTAATTTCAAGCATACTCAAAATAATGCAGTAGGTTCTGGTGCTTAATGCAAAAGTTGTTAATCACTGTTATGCATTCACCTCTGGGATTTGTCTTATTTTCCGATGATTGCTGCTTTGAGTTCTGTAATAGTATTAGGGTGGGTGGCCAATATAAACACTGTCCTTCAGATACTTGTTATCTGAAGGGTTGAAATCTGGGAGTTAGCAGCTTATGATAATAGCGATCACTGTCAATTTGGAGTGATTTAGCCGAGTCTCTACATTTTTGGACTGTATATATATATATGGGATGATGGCATGAATCATGCAAACTTATACTTCAAACCAAATTGTTCAACTTCAATACATGCTACACACCACCCAATAGTAAACAAGATACTTCTTGAACAGGATCACAAGCTATTTCCTTACTAGCATATGGGCTGCTACCTTCCATAATCAAAACCCATAATTCAAACCAGCAATAACTCCCAAAATAATACAAATCCCAGGATATGAATCTTGAATGACCTACCACTTGATAAGAAATCATGAATCAATTACAATATATTATATTTAGAATATTAGAGACTATTAGTAAATCACTAAAATTGTAAATGCTTCTTACAATGGTGCCATCCCCAATATGTCTGTCCCTTAACTTCATATTGTAAAGATACTCCCACCAAAGATGTTAATCAAAGCATACCAATAGTAGCATGTCATCTAAGATCAAAACGAACCACTAAATGGGGTCATAAGTCCCTGAAGATCCAAGATCATAATTAAATTTACGTGGAGATGATGAAAAACTCAATTTTCATTTCCAAGAACACAAGGGAGATGCCTGATCTGTCAGACCATTTTGATGTACTGTACATCATCTGAATTCTAATTGATGAAGCCTTGACCAAATAATATGAACTAAATCATTTTACAAGACCAAAAAATATGACAGAACAAATACTTAGATACATAAAATAAACAAAACAGAGATGACCAGAATACAATCCAGTAAGTAGAACAGCTTTATAGATTCAAGTTATTTTCTCCAACAAACTAAGCACTTATATGGGAAGAAAAGTAGTTGGTACAGTAAAACTAAAAGTGGTTGGATTAACAGGTCAATTGAAGATAACAAATTTGGGACAAAGTGTTCACATTGAGAAATGATAGGATTAAAGGTGTTCAGATACAGGGTGTTCAATAAGTATTGCTAGTTTTGCTATATTTTTTGTTCTGTTGCTTTTTTCTTCATGAAACTTTCACAAGATAAGGAACAGATTTCACTGTAAATTATTTAGAAAAGCAATATAAGAAATAGTTGTAGTGAACTAATCTTTACCAGCATATCTTTTAGATTCTATCAACTACATTTCATAAGAGTATGATTTACAAGGGTTTTGATATGTTAAATATTGTTGTTTGTTTGTGTTATGTTATTAATATACATCTGTCACACCAGAAACAACAATAATTTCTTAAAGAACTTGTATATTCTTATGGTCAACTTTGAATGAAAGGAACACAGACTTCTTAAATTACCTCAGTAAAGTCTGCGGAAATCTACACAGTTATAATTCTAGTCTGTGATATGGTGACAAATCACTTTTTATTCCCATCACACATGACAGATAAAACTGAGAAATCCAATGCAGAATTCTTTTTTGGGGGAATAAGGTTGATTAATACCACATATTAGTTTTAGGATCATTCAGTGAGAAACGTCTGAGTGATACCAAGAACAAAATAATAAAATAAAACATATTGCTTTGAATCCCTGTAGCATCATCTCATAAAATAAAATAAATCTCCTCTGGAAAAAGTAATATGTTTTGTGACTATTTAAATAAAACGACATGAATACAAATTTTGGATATGAGTAACCAGTGAGACTTACAATAGTAGATCATGACATTCTAAAATAAGTTAATTGCCAAACATCAGTGTTCATATTTGTATTATCAAATCACAAAGGGCAATGCAAAAAAACAAATGAGGATCGTCATTAAGGTTGAAAACATGGTTGCTTTAACTTGCCAGATTAGAAATCCGCTTATTAAGCTAATAGCAACCAGTTTCAAGTTCATTGCCAAGGCCAAGTGTACTCGAAAAGCTACTTGCAATGAGGCATTCATGGGTTTCAAAAGCCATATCAAGCAACAGATAATATCAATGACCACAAACCTGTGAAAACATACTCTGTATAATGAAGATATTAGAATTGTAGATGCACTTACAGTGGTTCTCTAGTATTCAATATAGTAAAATCAATCTACTATACTCAGATTTCCTGAAGGTTATTTACCAATTCAATCAATTTGAATTGAACTTCATGAACATTGCACAGTATAAATAATTCAGCATTTGTCCTTTTTATGTTTTGTAAGACTACTATCAAACAATATATAATAACATTGGGGAATCATAAAATGTTTGCTGTTAGAATTAATCAAAACAAATTCTGTTTGAGACAGGATTTTAGCCGCAAGTTAGTTTGTTTTTCTGACACAGTTTTTCTTCAGCATTCTGCAACTCACCTGTACGAAATTAACCACATTGTTGCATAGAATACATTTCTTTTGTGTTCTCATATGTTTCACAACTGATAGAGTTTCAAATGTTCACATTGGGTGAGTGTGTTGATGTAACTTTAAAATAAATATCCACAAAGTAAAACTTGTGATCATCTCTATTAAGGTTATTTGACCATGATATGCAATGATATCATGGTCATCTTGATAAAATGCATCACTATATTTTTGCATCTTTTGGTAAAACATTTTGGAAAAATAGATAAGTGACTTGGTTTTGCTTGAAATATCGTTTAGCGTTTAATAATAAATTTTGTTCATATCGCACAGACATCATTTCATCACCTATGAGAGCAGGAGAATAAATAAAGATGACTTTGAAATGCAATGAAATATCATCAACCATGAATAGCCATAATTAATAACTATTTCCTAAAAAAGCCCAAAAAGGACCAAAAACTTAGGGTACCTTCATTTTGCAATATAAAAACTATAAGGGCAACAGTGCTTCACAAAAACAAAACATTCTCAATCTCGTGATCATGTTTCCAATGAACAAAAGATGAATTGATAGGTTTATTCAAGTCTATTTAACCTTGTCAGGTAATATGTGACAAAATGAAACATAATATACAGTGCATACAATGTAATGAATAATAACAGATAATGCATAAGGTACCTGTAGGATTACATACTAATGCATCAATAGAATAGAAAAGAGCTGAACAATCTATACTATTCATGAATTTAAACCATGAACATCAATTCCAATATAAGGCGAGCATGATGGGAACAATGCATGTGGTTGTTCTATTAGCAACCAACATTTTCCCACTGGTAAATACTAAAAATGTTCTAGAGGATATTCTCCAACAGATTCTACCAATTAGAGTTGGAGTTCTCCTAAATATTTAATGCAATTGGTTACCAATTTACGGTTACCATGCAGTGCTTTAAGCTATTACGTCATATTATTATTAGTTTGATACTTATACAGGACATTCTTCACTGCACTGATAATAGTTCTTGTGCCACTAGTCTATCAAAAATAGTGAGATAAAATAAATGATTAGAAATGGCAAGAATAGTAAACATATTTTTTGACTTTTTGTCATGAATATCTAACAAAGTTATAACTGGTCATTGTAGTACTTAGAACAGATGTTCAAATGTTTCCCTTTATTTATTATCAAATTACAAGTATAGACTTCTACCTAACCATGTAAACACATCTCCCTTATGTCGTGGTCACATTTCCTCTGATCTCACAACACCGTTGTCCAACCGATGAGTATTTTGTTCAAAACAGAATGCAATCTTGAACAAAATATCCATTGACCAGGTGCGGGTGCTGAACATTGGAGCAAATGTGACCATGGCATTACATAGGTAAAAATGTAAGATATATAAAAACACAAAATAGACTTGCATTCTACTCATTATTTTGACATGAACCATTACATGCTTTAGTTAAATTCGATGTAGATGCACAGCACTGTGTATATACATTCATACTACATGTATTAACAAGATTACTGGTTGCACTTATTGATTCATATACAACATGCAGTCCAGTATTGAAGTATGGTGCCAGTGCCGTAGAGGCCAATCTATGCTGACAGAACATACATCCTAACAGCACATTAACCAATCAAGCTCCCATTGGTGAAACTTTAAATAACAGACTGATAATTATAACACTATGGAATAATTTCAGGAGGATTAAAACCAATGATAGGCATTCATCTGATACAAACTAATTCCGTGAGAACAAAACAACATTAAATATTTATACTTTGGATTATTCAATATAATAGAGTTCTTCATTTCCAGTGCATGGAACCTATATACAAATTGAGATTGTAGCAGGTGTTTTAATTGATACTCAACTAGATAATGAGACATAAGTATTGAGAAACTACGTGTGTTACTTGGAATAGCATGTGGAGATTATCAATGAAGAATAAGATGAGCATGTAGAAAAGGGCTAATTGGTTTCTTACGGAATGAGCCATAATACCAGATACAAGATAATACACCTGATGGTGAACTTAGTAAACTTGTAACAGGTATACTAGATAATGATAGATGACAAACATGTTTAATAGGGGAAAAGGTACAAGAAATATTGCACACTAATTGGTCATGCAATCAGATCTAAGGGAATACAGTATTTTTAAATGCTTGAAGTTAGACGAGGACAAAGGGATTAATGAATGAGATGTATTCTTTTGAGCACACCCAGGGGAAACCTTGACCAATATGAATGGCCAAACCTAAGAATCTATTCACAAACTTAATTTTCCTCACATCAACTATATATCACTCAGAACGACAAACACATGGGAATAATCCTCCTGTAACAACTTTATTGGAACCAACGAAATAAGCAGATTTACACATCATCCTGAACAATTTTCTAAAAGTGTAAAGAAGAGAATACAAATAAAGTATTTCTTAAATTACCAAAGAATCAAATTAGCACTTAGGTAATGTTGAAGCAATTGGATTGATACAATTGTCTGCAACTCTAATGGGAGATGAATGTGATGTTAAAGACAATGTGGATAATGAAACAGGGAAAGAAGATGTTAAGAAGGATGACACAGGTGTGATAGGACAGCCATGTCGTTTTGTCAAACATGGCTCAAAATACTCTATCCAGGTAAAGTATGATGATTTTTTTATCCTGAATGAAGACAGGGAAATTAAGATGTTTTTACAGTTGATAGGATTAGAATGAATCACCATGATCAAAAAAGATTGATTCTTTAGAATGATATACATGAATAATATCTCAATTCAAAATTTAGTAATCAGTACATGTAGCATGTATGAACACATATAGTTCAAATCAAACATCATTTCACCATTATATTCAGATTTTTCCTCCTAAAGATAACAAGAAAAATATAATGATCATTTAAACGAAACATTCTTTTAATCTACACAGAGACATAAAATCGAAGACTAATACAATAGACATAAGCCACGAGCATTTGACAGATATTAATATCAATTGCTCAATATATTTCAATTATTCTACTGAAAATCACTATGTCACATTATCAACCCTGGAAATTGTTACAGAATTGTTTTGAACTTGAGCTCAGCTCATATGATGAGAGCTTTGAATAGAACTTGTATATTGAACAGTCAATAAAAGATATATATCTTATCATTATTAAATGGGAGGGGGAGGGAGGTATCAGACATTGTTTCTTTTCACGTAAGATCATGGTTGGGATAGTTGGGGTTGTTTTTCTTATAACTGGTCCACTCTGGATAAGGTATAAAATAAGCAGGTTTAATGACAATTGTCAAAATACTACAAAATTAGAGTTGGCCAAAACTAGATCACAAGGTCTACCTTCTTCCTAATTCTTACCCCATTCATACATGTCATAGTTAACAAGTGGTACACATTAAAAGCATAAGGGTAAAGATAGGTGTGTTACAATAAACATCAATCCTGACCATTGCAAGCAGATTTTGTGATACCATTTGATAAGATTGTATTCAGTTTTAAAGCAGGTATTCAGTTTTAATGCAGGTATTCTATATTTTTCACTGGAAAGACAACAAAAGAAAATTCTATCAAATCAATATATAAAAATAATATAACTGGGCTTTCTACAGATTGGTAATGATTCAAAATAAAACAAACTGAGTTACTGTCAACAGACATACAGACAGACTCGATTGTTACACAATAAAAGAACAGATACTTAGGATATTGATATCGCAAACATACTATGGCAAGCATGCAAATTCTAGGGCCCTGCACGCAAAAAATGATTTTATTTTAACAATGAACTCATTGTCTAAATGTTAGTTACATGCTTCTGGCTGAAATAGCATCACAATAGACATTTATAATACATGACAAAGAATAAAGCTATGCAAGATCCCTGCAGGTATTGCAGTATATACAGGTATTTACCAATAAACGAAGAGCATTTGATAATAGTGCTATCACATCAAATGTAAGCGATATTATATGTAGAGAAAAGATCAATGAATACACTCTTGATATGATGCTTTTAGGTTGAAATATAGCAAGGCTAAAGGAAGCACAAACCAATAAGGAAAAAATTGTTGACTATAATATTCAATAAATATTCATCTCGGACATCCTTTGTGTGTGAGATCAAAACGATTCATTTTAGTCACTAAATATTTGCATTTTTCCTACAATACATATGAATGTATATATGTATGTAGATATATGCGAAATACCCTGAAATCATAATTATGTGTCATTCATTGCATATATAATAGGAATCAACCAAACCTGTACTCCAAGGGAGAGAACATGATATAGATCCCAAAAGGTGAAGATACTGGTATGTTATAATCATATAAACTCCTAGAAACTCGGGGTATGTTTGAAATTATGAGATAAATTAGGAAAGGATTTGGGTGATTGATCACATGCAATTTCTATTAAATACTGGCAAAGTACAGACCACCATCTCGTCAATTTTGAAATATTTGTGACATGCCTTCTTCTTCCATATGCAATAAACTCCTATCAAACCTGACATATACCAGGGTTGTTGCCTTAGAAAAATCACTTTATGATGTTTCAATCTGAGCGTATTGGTGTGAGAGTAGACATTTTATTAATTACACTTCAGAATGAAACGGAAGAATCAATTCATTTTACAAGTGTACATAATTCTTGTAATAAAGATTATCAGGATAATAATTATATATATTAATGTCCCTGATCAGTGCAAATATAGTGTCAAATAGGCCATTAATTATGAAGACCCAACTAAAGATAAAATATCAAGGAGAATACATGGAAAAAATAGTTGATCTGGCAGATCTAACAAATGAACCAGAAATTGATCAGATTTCTATATGGTGTGATGGTATCACAACAGAACCTGACGATTGGTATGCTTAGACTAAATTAACCATACCAATTATTGATGTAAGACCATGAAGGGATTCTTTCAAAATATCAATAAATGCATAATATCATATTTGTTTGAAAATTCATTCAATACCTCACCAAATATTTATGCCATCCTTCAGACAACAATTGATATTGAATAACAATTAAGGGGAGATATTTATGTCAAACAAATCAATATGCTTCATAAACAAACCTTTAAGATATCGCCACCGTTCTTATAACAAACTTTACCTGAGTACCTTATGGATTTTGAGAAATGCCTTACCTTTCAGTAAAACAATAAAAGTCAAGTAGATCTCAAAGCAACATATTGATCTGAAAATGGTTAGCAAATACTCTTCTCCCTTTTGTTAGGCTGTTGACTCAATATATAGCTCTATTCATTTCGATGCAATAATGTTATCAATACTATAGAAAATATAAAAAACTTAATCTGTAAAAGTCACATTGAAGTTATATTCGTTAATTATACACACATATTGGGATTCTCTTTTGTACATCCTCATTATACAGTACTAGCATCAAGTACCTTGATGGAGATAGTTGATGACCATCAAACCATTGCTCGATCAATTCCAGTGATTGTAATAAGTGATAGACAAAAGAATACTTACCATTATCATGAACAATACCAACAAAAGAAGTTGTTATGTGGGTATGTTAATCTGGTCCTCTGATTAGAAGACAGAAAGAGAACCCTTAGAAAACAAAAGCCAATTACAGATAGATCCTGTCTTTTCTGATCACTGCATCCTCTAACGAGATAAGCATCATTCAACATTAATTAATAAGAGTGTAGAATTTCCATACCTTGTTTTCCCGTACAGAATAGAAGAATATATAGAAGGTACAATTTCCTTTATATTAGAACTATACTTAGCCAAAATACAAGATGCTAATCAAGGATGAACAATGGCTCTTCTAGCATTGACTGACATACGATCAGGTCTGTATTACTAATGTTTATTGAATAATGAAAGCTGGAAATTGGATGTTTTCAGGAAAATCTAATCTTGTGTGATTAAACAACCAGTTAGATTCATTGAAGAAAATGTAAGACAGAGCTTGCTGTCATCAAATAACTAAAAAACAAAGGACATCCATTTACTTTAGTTCTTTAGTTTATAAGGACTTAATTCACAAATCGAATTCAAGGTCCTACATTTATTATATATTCAAAATGAGTACTCAAGGTCAAAAATGGATGGCCAAATAAAATGGAAAACTGATTAGAATCTGGATTCTGGGATCTTAAAGAAATACTAGGGATATAAATTGATGTCAAAACTTTATTTCTCTTTGGGGTGTTGGAATATGGCTCAGACAAATTAAGTTTTGAATCTCAAGTGATATCGATATAACTGATTTATCTTTGTTTCTATGTGTTTCGTTATGAGAGCAACACATAGCCTTTTTGTTTGAATATTGATTTTATGACGTTTGGTTTGATTTATTTTTGAAACCTTAACAAACTCCCATGATACACGAAAGCAACCAGCATTGGTCAAATTCAAGAATGGGAATCAATATGGCAAGGGCCAACTTTACAGAACAAAGACAAACTAGAAAGAAATCGAAACAATTTTGGAATATGATTCAATAACACTGCAAGCATATACAATCTAACAACAAAAATACTTCAGTTCAACTACCAGATTGATAGGATAGGGCTCTTTAATAGGTTATATATCTATATCCCATGTCTATGGATGCCAATGATACTAATAAGAAAATCAAACATTTTTAGACTCTAGGGACCAGGCATGCCCAGTGTTAGCTCATACATGAAATTACAGTTGGACCATGAACAAATTTGTGAGATTTGGTATATAAATCACTTGTCCTAAGCAAGACCTCAGTAAGAGAGGGGGAAATTAGTTAGATTGCATGTGAATTTAGATTTCCTGAAACAATCATGTTAAGCTACATGTAGTTATGTTTATGATCATAATATAGGTCCTTAATATCATGAAATAAAAAGGATGACAAAAAGCATTGGGTGCTCAATTTGAACTGACAGATTCCTAATATTATTGTCCTCTCACTTATTTATAACCATATAGTACATACAATGTTTACTTCTTTCTTATTCTTGTCCCCAACACATTGAATTTCCATCAACACCTTTTTTATATTTGAAAAATAGTATACATAGAATACATCTATATTTAACCTTTGCAATATGTGACAATGTGACATAAACAATACATCTTGTTATTTTTCATAACAGGAATATCTATAAACAGTACATGTGCATCCCCCTTATACTAATATCAGAACGAAGCTACATAGGCTGATTGTATATTACCTGTTTCTTGGGTAACCAATTCTGTTCTACTTAAATAATACCAAGAAACTGCAATCATACCTATTGGATAATAGAATTTTGAAGACATTTTATCAATTCTACCATGGGCAAATGGACAAACTGAAAGATCTAATAAAATAATAAAAAGAGGTGAACCTTAAAATTGCCATTACTTAGGTGCATTAAATGGAGCAAGCTTTCCAACAAGATTACATATGGCAGCTGGTTTGGTTTCAACAACAAGATCTCAGAACGAAAGGTTACATTTCCTCAATGTATCAATATTTCTGATGAATAATTATAAATCTTACAATACAATACAAAGGCTATTTTATGTTAGATTATGATAAATTATTTAGTGAAATGGAATTAAATTATTTATTGAAATGGAATGTTTCCCTAGGTGTTCATTTCAACAATCAATCAATCA